TGTGTGTGTGTGTGTGTGTGTGTGTGTGTCTTCTTGCGAGTCGTGGTGGCAGACAGCTGAGCTCCCCTTCTCCATGTCCAAATGTCCATGTCCATCTATCTGTCTGTGGGCGTTAGTCCTGCAGTTACTTAATTTTGGGATTTGTCAGGCGTAGCTCTAGAGGGCGCCGGCCGGTCGATTTGCCGCGTCCCTATTTAAGAGCCGTACTACGTAACTCGAGTAAGCGCTGCTGCGGCGGCGTCGAGCCACCGCGCACTGGACGAGGACTCAGCACGAGCCGTCACTGAGCAGGCATCGCCACTCTGCTGCGCGGCGCGGCGCACCACGCGGAGCAAGGCGCCTCTCCCCGCACCACCCCTGCCGACGTGGCGCACGGCCGCAATACGTGAGCGGTCTAAGTCTAGGCGCCTCTCCCGGCATCCCCCGCTGGACGCGGCGCCACGCCGTCCCTCAGCGCTCTCGGGCCCTCCCCGCAGGCGCCTCCTACATCCCCGCCGACGTGGCGCAGCGGCACGGTGCTACTCCCGCTCCGGCAGCTCCTGTTCCCACCTCTGTTGGCTCACACATGCACGGGCCCTCTCTGCGCCAGGCGCTTCGCTCAAGCAACTCCTCTCTGGCCGAGCGCCCCGCTCTGCGACGCCGCGGCCGAGCTGGCGCACGAGGCGACCACCCACCTCCTCGCCGCGCGCGCGCTGGCGCCGGACCTCTCCCCGCAAGCGCGCGCGCTGCTGCAGCCCTCGGTGGTTACGGCTACAACGTCTTTGCGCCCGAGCTGCGGGAGCCGCTCGGGCTGCGGCTGCGCCCTGCGGACCCCGCGCTCGCGCTTGGAACGCGGCGTTCCGCTCCTTTTAGCTACGCCATGTCTGGTGGGGAATATGTGTTGAGTTTGATCGCCTCGCCCAGCCTTCTCTTGTTGTGGGATGGTGGCGATCATTTCGTTCTTGCAGATTCTGTCACACACGCTGAGGAGAGCCGGCGTCTGAGAGACGGAGTGCGCGGCCGTGCGGTACGGGCTACGGCGTAGAGACCACCCACCGCGAGGGGGCGAGAGCGCCGCGAGTCAGATTGACGACACGACGTGGTTCACTGGGCAGCGAGCCGACACCGACAGAGAGACCCAGAGAGCGACAGAGAGACAGTCCACGTACAGAACGTATTACCAGTCCAATCAAGAAGGGAGGAGACAATTTCGGGGGAACGCGAGAGAGCCGAATGTGATGTGTAAGAGCGAAGCAACGGCGTCTCGCCGCACTGCTCTCATCGAAGCCGCTCCGCGGATATCCCCCTCCTCTTCCGACAGCTGGCCTACTTCCATAGGCGGAGAGCGCCCTGGTGGTCGACGGTGACGAGCTTGCCGCTGCTCGTGAAGGCGGCGCGGACCACACTGCGACGCCGAACGCGTTCGCGGTGGGCGTGACGAGCCGTATAGCTGTGCGAGTCACTCCCCAGCGGCTCGTACCGAGGGTTTGCGATCGAGCGAGCCACGCTTCCAGTGGCGAGGTCGCGCACCTCGAAGTCGGCGTGCGACTCGAAGTCCTCGCCGCGCTTGGGGTTCTCCTCTAGGTCACGGTCCGGTTCGTAGAAGAGGAGGAGCTTTCCGTCGCCTGCGAGGAGCGAGGACACGGGGTGCGCGGCCTGGAAGGAGGTCAGGCAGGTGGCAGACTCGAGGTCCCACAGCTTGACCGTCGTGTCGATCGCACCGCCGTAGGCGGTGACGAGGTAGCCATTGCTGTTGGCCAGGGCGACTGGTCCGACGATGCGCCCATCGCCGACGACCTTGATCACGTGCGTCTGCCGCCACGAAGGCGTGGCCCACACGTGCAGCTCGCCGTACCACGCGGAGCTCCTGTGCCTCGGCGCAGACACGCTCACGACGTACTTGCCAACGGAAAGGCAGAGCTCCGCGCCAGTGTGCCCGTCGCCTGGGAACGGCCCCTCAGCAGAGCTGGTACAAAGCCAGGTGGCCGTGTCCCACATCTTGACTTGGCGCTGCTCGAGGTGCCGCGAGGACGTCATGCTGGAATCGGCGGTCCAGTCGGGCTGCGTGCCATAGCCCATCGACACCAGAGAGTCGCCGTGCATGAAGAGGCGGTCAACGGACCAGTTTGGGTCTCGCACAAGCACGTTGGCGCCCCCGCCGTCTTCGTGCCGGTACACGCTGCCGTGCGCGTCCAGCGAGAAGGCGCCACCGTGCTCGTAGTCCAGCACGTAGAGGCAGCCGGTCGCGTAACCGGCGATCTTCTCGTCCTCATTGTTGCAGAAGTTGCATCCTCCCGACACTCCGATGATGATCTTGTCGCCGTGCGAGGCAAGGGCCGACACTCGCCCGCCACCGGAGGCAAATTCGCGCTCAAGCTGCAGCGTGGACGAGTTGTAGATTTTGATGCTGGACCGGCGCTCTGCCGAGCGCCCACCGTGGTCGCCCACCACGATCTTCGATGCGGAGACTGTCATCAGGAATGCCGGCTTGGGCACGTAGCGACTGAAGGAGTCAGCGTTGAGGTCGGGGACGGCCCCGGCCGGTCCGTTGCGCACACACTGCGTTGGGAACTCAAAGGCGTGCTGCGCGTAGAGACGCATCGGTGCAGGCGGGGCGCCGCCAGCCTCGGTTCGACGAAACAGCTCCTCGCACACGCGGCGTGAGAAGGCGTTTGCAATCTCTGGGATTGGCGGCTTCTCCACGAGCGCCTTGAGCTCGTCGCGGGTAAAGCGGGACAGCCGCACGCAGATCTCGCTGTTGAGAATGCTCACGAACGCGTCGCGCCTCGCTCCGAAGTCGTGCTTTGCCCAGCGGATGAGCCCCTCGAGCACAGTCGTCTCCCGGCAAACAGCGAGGTCATCCGATCGCAGCCAGCGCTCCACGTCGTCCTCGGACTTTGCGAGCCACTCGTCGCCATTCAGGACGGCCTCGCCAAAGGTAGCCGCGCTCAGGCGGGCACGCTTCGCGGCTGGTGGCGCGTCGGCCATGGTGACCCAGGCTAGCAATCTGCTAGGCAAGCAATCTTCTGCACTCAACCTCTCACAGACCACTCATGGGACGTATTTTCTTCTCAATAACAAGGCTGTGATCAGCACAGGGAAGATCGAGCCCGCACGTTCAAACTCCGTTTTTTGGCGAGCCAATACCTGGGACTTGTGGGGGGGGGCACCGACCAAGGCCTGCTCGCGTTCATCTATCTACCTCATCCGCACCAACCGCCGATTTTTGCCACTCGCACGACGCACCGGGGCCGGGCATCTGTTTTCAAAAATCTCTCTCTCGCAACCAGTTTGTTGTTGGCATCTGTGGATTGGGTCCGCCACTTCTGGGGTGGCAAGCAAAAGCCGTGGAAACAAGGCCTTCCCGATGCTGCTGCTGCTGCTGTTACCTCCGGTCCACACGGGTACTCCCGTGCTACACGGCATCTCCACGCTACGGCTAGGCGAGTCACACATGCACATGTGCATGTGCATGTGCATGTGCATGTGCATGTGCATGTGCATGTGCATGTAACATGTGTCGTGATTGGGATCAAAGCGCTGACTGAGAGAGCCTTCGATGGTCCACTGCCCTTTTGCTTTTCATTTCCGTGGGCTCCGCATCACAGCGCCCACAAACCGTGTGCGCCCGTTTCTTACGGGAGCGGGCGGGGCCCGGCGCGGCCGGCTTCGCCGGTTCGCGACACGTTTGCGATCTCCTGGACTTGATCCCGGGATACGCTAGCTACATGGGAGGGCTTCGTGAAAGATGGATTGAAAAACATTCGAACAAAGAAGAGGCGACGGGAGGAACCGGCAGAGGATGCAGTGACGTGACACACACACACACACACACACACACACACACACACACACACACACACACACACACACACACACACACACACACACACACCGCTCACCCACGCGCACCGGGCCTTGCACTTTAAATGCCGTGGGGCTCCTGTCGTTAGACGTGGAGACGCGAGGGTTGCCCCCCCCTGCCCCACCACCTCGTGTGTGTGGAGAAGTTTACCTTACCTTACCTTACCTATCCCGGGATAGCCCCGCCTGTTGGGATTTTTATCGATTTTTCGATACTTAGAAACATCCAAAGAATCCGGAAAGACACAGTACACACGCACACACACGACGTCGTTGGCAAAGGAAAGGTAGTTTACACACTCAGAGAGGACGCTCACGTCCGGCTCTTGACGCGCGTGCCACACGCCGCGACCGCCGATTGGACATTTCCCATCTCTGCGACGGCGATCGCGATGCACGCCTCGTTTGTGTTATCCCGACGGCTCTGTGGCACCCTGCACGGACCCTTCCCGCTTGGCTCCCTCTCTGCTGACAGCCCTCTGGTTCTGATCCGAGATCAGCGCGTTCCACATCACCGCGCAGAGGCTGGCCCAGGCCATCCTGTGCCGCACGGGGATCTTGCCCGAGAAGGTGACGGAATGACAACAGCACCAAAACGGGAAGCAGATCGCGTAGGTGGGCCAAAAGGCGTCGCGCGTCCGTGCTGCGGCCGCCTCCGCCGTCCCACCCTCGAGGTAGCTCTGCGAGAGGAAGAAGGCGATCAACGAAGGCGGCGCGAGGAGGAGCTGGTCGGCTAGCACCCTCGCCACGACGCCGGGACCGTACCGAAGACCGGCGAAGCGGGCGTCGAAGAAGCGCCAGCAGGCGTCGACCACTGGCGCGTGCACCAGTCGGTAGGACATGAGCCGAGCGGTGCGGCCGGTGTCCACGTCCGATGCCGCCGACAGGTGTCCCTCGCGCCACTGCATGAGCACGTCGCCGCATGCGCCAATGCCGGCGGCAGTGACGGCGGTGCGAGCGTGTTGCATGTACATGGCTACGCGGTCGTCGAGAAGGAGCCTGTCGTACGCGTGGCCGAGGGTCAAACTGGGCTTCTTGCCTCCTCGGGAACGGTCGGACAGCACGCGGGCAGGATTTCTTTTTCGCCAAACCCGGAAGTACACCAGAGAGACCAAACAAAAGAATTCCGAAGTTCATTCGACTCATCGGCGCCGTCGATGGGCCTACCCGACGGCCCGCTCCTCGACGCCGTTCGCGCGGCCGCCGCGCGCGCCCACGCCGCGCAAAACGATGTCTCGCGCCTGCAGGAGGTCGCCGACGGCAAACTGGCACGGCTGCAGGCGACGCACGATGCGGAGCGGGCGCTGCGCCGGCGGGCAGAGGCTGAGGTGGCGGTCCTCGGCCGCTGCTTGCGCGACGCAGAGGCGTTTCACGCGCTGCGCGAGGTGCAGGCGGACGTGCGCGCCGCCAAGCAGGCGCAGCAAGCGCAGGCGCTGCGTGCCGTGCTGGAGCACCAGTCGAGGGTTGCCAAGGAGCAGCGGCAAGAGCAGGCCCACGCCAGCCGCTTCTGGCCGACGCCGCCCGCCGACGGCCCTCTCACACGCTCGCCGCTCGCTCGTCGCAGGCCGGGGCGCACGCGCGCGTCGCGAAGCTCGAGTTTGAGCGCGAGCAGCTGCTGCTGCGGCTGGCTCGGCTGGAGGAGCAGCGCTCGGCCCTCCGCTCGCAGCAGCAGCAGCAGCAGCAGTTGCTGCAGCTGCAGCGGGAGCAGCTGCAGCGGGAGCAGCTGCAGCGGGAGCAGTTGCAGCAGCAGGCGGTTCGGCCCAGGCTCGAGCACGAGCACGTGCCGCGTGCGCCTGCCGAGGCAGTCGCCAAGGAGGAGCGCCTGGAGGCGGATGGCTGCGACGGGACCGCCTCGGCGGTGGCAAATGTGGCTGAGCTGAAGGTGGCTGAGCTTGAGGCGGCGCTCGCCCTCGCCCGAGGCGAGGCCGCCCTCCTCGCGCAGCGGTGCGGCGCGCAGCAAGCGTTGCCCTCCGGGTCCGCGGCATCTACCGGCGAGGCTTCCGAGGCCGAGCCGGCCGAGGCGGCTGAGGCGGCCCCAGCTCCGCGGTGCCGCGCTCTCGGCAGCCGCCCCGGCACTGCGCAGCAGGCGACGCGGCGGCCTTCCGCCCACAGCAAGGCCCACAGCAAGGGTGCCGTGTCTGGTGCCGTGCCTGCCCCGCCCGCTCCCCGCGGCGAGGGGAGGCGGAGCAGCGGCGAGGGGAGGAGGAGCAGCCAGCCCGACCCGCGGCTGCCTTCTGGGAGGCGCCCCTCCGGGCGGCGTAGCGGCAGTAGCGCGGCTCCTGCGCTGGAGGCGTCGGGCCCCGGGGGCGCCCCGCCCACCGCCCTGACCCCCGCGCTGACGGAGGGCGGCAGCTGCGACTCTGCGCGCAGCGAGGTGTCGCTGGAGGTGAAGGGGGAGGTGCAGGGGCTGCGCGAGCAGCTGGAGCGGGTGATGGCGCGCTTTGCGTCGCAGCCCGCCGAGAGGGAATCTGGCCGGGCGGACGGGGCTGACGGGACGGGCGGCGGCGCGATGGGCGAGGCCTTCAGCTGCGTCGAGGGCGAGATTGAGCAGCTCGAGCTCGCGCTTCAGCTCGCGACAAAGTACGCGAGCCTCACGCCGGTCCTGCAGGCGCAGTCAGCGCGCCTCTCCTCCTCCCGCCTCTCCTCGAGCAGCTCCACGCCGCGGGGCCGCGCCACGCCAGGCAGCTCCGCCTCCGAGGGCAGCCTCGCCGGCACAAGCCTCGCCAGCCGCTCGTCTGCAGTCCCACCCATGGCGATGCGCTGACAGGCCACAGTCCATATGGCGAGGACACTCTCAGCCGTTCGTGTGGCGCTCTGCGTGCGGTGAGGATTTGACGTGATCCTGGTCTAGATCCTGGTCCCAGGACGGCTCGCTCTGAAGGTGCCAAGACGGACGAGCAGCGGCCAGCTCGCGTCTCGGCGATAGCTCCGATAGCCGACACATCCTACACACAGCTCCACGCACGTGTGAGAGGAGAGAAATAACACATTACATAACTACATACAACGAGAAAAAAAGCAGGAACATACACGACAGTCTCATGCATACGCCCCTGGCCCTGACGCCTGACCGGGGCTCTCCGCTCGCGTGGCCGTGGGGCGTGCGTCGCGCGGGTCGCGGGAGCTCCCTCAGGGTTGTTGTGCGAGTATATGGGACACGATGTCTCAAATATGAGGGGTTTTGACTCCTACCGGCTCCTGACGCTATCTCTGGCAGCTCTAATGACCAGGATCAGTAGTGTTGTGATAGAGGGTGCCCATACTAGCGCAGGAGCTCGCCACACTCGCCCGGACCGTCCCCTTCGGGGGCCGGTTCCGCAGCCCGCGAGAGCCGACAGCGGGGCCGTGCCGCGGGTGCCTACTGCCGAGTGCCACAAACACTGCGCCGTCCCGCCATCACCTACAGGCTGTCTTGTGTGATGGTTGGGATGTCCAAACGCCACCATCTTGGCTCTTGCGACCTCAAACCCGCGAACTGTATGGGTGGTCCTGACGTCGACAGACGCCCGAGGACCACGGTGAAGCTGAGCCGGAACGCGTCGACAAGTCTCGTCTGAGCCCGTGGCGGTCGCCGGCTGAGTCGCTGTGCACGGGCCGGTACCTCAGGCGTCACCTCCGCAGCCTCAGTTCTCAAACTCCACCACCTCCGCCAGGACGCCGTCGGTGGCACGTTCGGCGGCGAGTTTGTGGCAGCCCCACAGCGAGCGCGGCGTCGAGCCTATTCGGTCTGGTCGGTTCGCGGCACTCCCTGGGTGCCAGGGAGTGCCGCCGACACGCGAGCGGTGCTTCCTGGCAGCGCGCGCAGGCTGTGGGGCTGCCACAAACTCGAGCCACGCTTTTTTGGGACATTTTCGACGCTTTTGTCCCTATCATTGAAAGTAGCAACCGGGTCGCGCTACACGCTCTCCGAATGGGATTTTCTGCCCTGCCCCTGTCGCAGCCCCGGCTGCCTCCCGGAGGCCCGCCCGGCCATGCAATCCGCCGCCGGACCGCCCGGCGGGTCCAACCCGAAGCGGGCGACCGGCCGTTCGCACCGCTCGGCCGACGGGGCGAGCCCGGCGGCCCTCGATCGCTCGCCCCGGAAGTGGCCCGACCGGCCCACGCGCACGGCCTGGCCTCTACCGCCACTTTCGGCGGCGCAATTTGCGCCTTCATCGCTCTCTGGATCGTCCTGGCACCCATCGGACTCCTCCCGACGGTCGGCGGCGCCCACTCCGTGCACTTTGAGTCAGACTCGCTCTTCGGCAGGCACGCTCTTCGGCGAAAAGTCGCCGCCGGCTGTCCACGCCGAGCCAGCCAGTTGCCGGCTCGCACGGCAGCCTCTTCCTCTCGACCAGCCTCAACTTCGACACGGTCATCATTTTGTCGCTGCGTGCTCGTGGCGAGCCGGGCGGCGGTCAAAGTTTGCCCAGACGAGCGCCAGGCGATAGTCCCGTCTCTGTTCGCCCTGTGCATGTCAGGCCAGGCTGCAGCGGGGCACGACCATCGTGCTGCCCTGTTGCAGCCTGACGTTTCCCACTGTGCACAGCCGCCAGAGCACCACCACCGCCCGGCATCGTGTCACGGCGAGCTCCTTCTGCACCCGTTCGCGAGGCTCTTGCGCTGGCACACTTCGGCCTTCCGCTGCTCGCGTTCGGCGAGCTCTTCTCCGCACTCCTGCCACGGTGCCGTCGCCACACACCTTCTGGCCGGCCTGAGCCACGCGGACTCGACCTCTCTCTCTCTCTCTGGTGCACGCCACGGGCCGCGGAGGCAGCGTTGCTGGCACAGTCGAGCTGGAGTATCCGCTTCTTGATGCTTCTGCGGTCAAGCTTGACCTTATGTGACATGATATGCCACAAGAATGCATGCTCTCACCCCTCAAAGTGTCGAATTTTTGTTTAGTACTGGTGACCCGACACCGGTGGCCCGATAGTACCGTGCCGATAGTACCGTGTGTGCCTTTCTTCAAACGAACGCACTTTTCGAGGTTCGACAATCGCTAAGATGCTTATGGGGCACCGCTGCGACTCCCTTGGAGATGCCTGAGGCCACCCCAACCAGTCCCCAGGCGAAGCCTTACGTGGACGAATTCAAACCCTTTTCCTGGCTCACAAGCTAAAGATGTTCACGGGCCCCCACACGGAGCTCGGAGGTCTCCGCGTACTCTTTAGCTGTACTAGCACGCCACGGGCCGCGACGGCTGCTGGCAGCCGGCCGGCGTTGCCGGCACAGTCGAGCTGGAGTATCCGCTTCTTGATGCTTCTGCGGTCAAGCTTGACCTTATGTGACATGATATGCCACAATACTGCATGCTCTCACCCCTCAAAGTGAGTGAGGGAGGGCGAGACGATCGAGGGGTCCCGTACCATGCGGAATCGACCCTATCCAGTGCTCAAGTGCTCAAGTCAGCAGTTCACCCTCGGGTACGTACTTTTAGCTTACTGGGAGAAAAGGGATTGTGTTCTCTAGGCCCCTAAAGGCCCTACGCGCGGCGTGATGTTCGTGAGAGCACATAGCCTGAGATATGAGCGTCATCTTGTAGTGAACAGACCGACTTCGCGGTTTGAGCGCCCAGCGCAGACCGACCGACCGCAGGGGGGGTCCGGTCGGCGGCCGCGGAAGACCGCAGACCGGAGGGGGGGTCCGGTCTGTCGGAGCGCAGACCGAGGGGGGGGTCGGTCGGGTGTTGGCTCGACGGAGAGGGTCACACCGCACATGCTCGCCGCAGCTGTGAATAAATTAGAAAATCTCTAAAACTGAGTTGCTCATGAAGCGGCGACCGGCGTCCCCAGCACCCGGATCGATTGCCATTCGCTGTCGCTTGAGCGACTCGGAAGCCGATGAGTGAGCCCGGGTGACGGCGTGTCGATCAAGTCTGGCAAGTCATCGTAGTCATTGGAAGGGACGATGCGCGCGTACTGTGGAGAATTGGAGCGCTGCCAGAGCTTGTACAAAGCGACGGCAAGCAGGATCAGGCCTCCCTGCGACTGCGTGGATGCTCCACATACATATGTGTGTGGAGTCGGGCTCGCTCGGGCCTCGGCGAAGAAGTCTCCTCGCTTGGCTGCCGCGTAACTAGTTTTCATAGTGAAAAGTTAAACCGGCGATTTCGAAGCGCCCGTGGCGGTTCGCGAGAGAAGGAGGGAGAGCGTTTGATTGAGGGGCTCACGGCAAGGACACCGACCGAGGGGGGGTCGGTCGTCACACCTCCCGCCTCCGAGAGAGCGACCGACCGGAGGGGGGGTCCGGTCCACCTCGGGGGCAGACCACCGACCGGCGGGGGGGTCCCCACGAAGTAGGGGGGGTGGGTACAAAATGACGCTCAGATGAATAAAAGCCACGGGCCGGCAACCTCTGCCGGGAACCTCTGAGAGCGACCCCTTCTACAGTGCCTCGCCTCCGGGCCCTGCCTCGACCCTCGACCAGGGATGTGTCGTCCTCGCGCGCCCCTGCTCGACGAGCCCCAGTTACAGACGCGCCACCCCAGCCGCTTCTACTGCTTCGGCCGCTCCATCAACCGCAACGTGGCTTGGACATGGGCAGCGGTCCTTGCACAGGGCCTGGCCGACTCCATCTGGGCCGGCACGGTGCTTGTCAAGTTCCTGAACGAACTGCTGGGCAACAACGCCTACGTCGGCTACATCGAAGCGGCCTCGGGCGCCGCCAATCTCATCGTCGCGCTGCCGGTTGGGGCATGCGCTGACCGTCTCGGCAAGGGCCGCGTCGCACGGTGGGGTGGTGCACTCATTCCCTTCGGAGTCGCGCTCACTGCGTACGCCGCCTCGTACGGCACCTCTCACCCGCCGGCCGACAGCGGCGGTCGGCTCTCTTTGCTCCTGCTCTTCGTCGCTGTGCAGTGCTTGTGGGGAGTCGTGAGTGCGGTCGGAAACGGGCCGGCGCAGGCGCTGTATGCTGACTCGGTGGCGACGGGAGAGCGGTCGCACGCGTACACAGCGCTCTTTGTCATCTACCTGCTCGCGTCGGTGGTTGGCCCCGCCCTCACCATCGTCCTCTTCGAGTCGCACGGGGAGGCGACCTCGTACTTTCCCCTCCTCGGAACCTCCTCGGAACCTTCCAAGAACCTTCCCAGAACCTGCTCTGCAGGCGGGCCGCACCTGGTCCCTCACGCCGCTGCGCAACGTCATCTTCGCCGGCCTCGGCTTCGAGCTCGTCGCGATGGGAGGTGCCAAATGCTCATCCGAACCCCTCCTCCCCCCGACCCCCACCCCAACCCCAACCCCAACCTCCCGCCCCCAGGCTACCTCATGCTGCGCGACAAGCACGCCGTCGGGGACGAGGAACCCCCGACCGACGGCACGAGGCCGGCCTCTGACGCCGAGGCGGGAGGGGGCGGTGGCAGCGGCGGCGGCAGCGGTGAGGGCGGCGGCGGCGGCGGCGGCGAGGGCGAGGGCGGCGGCGAGGGCGGCGGCGAGTGCGAGGGCGGCGACAAGCCTGCGGCCGAGGGCGAGCTCTCTCCGCACGTGTGGGCAGTCCCGTACGTGCTCTTCGCCTCGTCAGTCTGCTTCGCCCTTGGCTCGGGGATGACGGCGCGGAGCCCTCTTGCGCCTCTCCCCGGCCCGAGCCGCGCGCGGCGTCTGCTTCACGTTGGTTGGGCGCGTGAACAGGTCAAGTTCTTCCCTCTCTTCTTCGTCAACGACTGCGGCCTCGCGCCCGCCCAGGTGTGGAGTAGCTGCTCCCCTCCTGCCTAGTCCGTGATTGCCCGCCCAGGCAGCTGCATCCAACACACTAGACCTCCTCGCCCCGGCCGCAAACACGCGCAGGTGCAGCTCATCTACGTGGTTGTCCCGCTCGTGATGGCCGCCATGTCCGGGCTCGGCACGAGAGCGGCGCGCTGCTTCGGCCGCGCGCAGGCGATGCGAGGCCTCCAGTCGGCGGGCATCCCTGCAGCTTTCCCTCTGAAGCCTCGCGGAGCCTCCCGGCAGGTGATGTGCGGCTTCAAGACGGCGGGCATCGCCCTGCTCGTCTGCATGGCGCTGCTCGACTCGTGGGTCAAGCGCTCCGCCGTCGGCAGCAGCGAGCACACCTTCCGCGTCGCCGTCGTCGCGGCGCTCTACGTGGTTCGGACCGGGCTGATGAACTGCACGTACCCGCTCGAAGAGTCGCTGCTGATGGACCACGTGCCGAAGAGCGCTCGCGCGCGCTGGAAGTCGCTCGACTCGATCTCCGTCTTTGGCTGGTGCGGCTCAGCGGCTCTCGGCGGCTACCTCGCCGACCGGTACTCGTACTCGACCACCTTCCTCGTCACCGCCGCCATCCAGCTCGCAGGGACCGCGCTGCAGATCCCGCTCATTTTCATCACGCGCAAAGCCGAGTCGCCCGCGCCGCGCGCCGCGGAGGGAGGCGGCACGACGGCGCCGCTGCACGCAGCCCCGGCTGGGCCCGAGGCTGCGGGAGGCGGCGGCGCGGGCAGCGCCGGCCAATGAGGCCCCACTCAACTCACGAGAGCGCATGGGCGCCTCGCGGTGGGGATACATTCAGATGGTACACTGTCTCAGAGGCGGATGATGAGGTGCGCTCGAGAGGGTAGCGGTAGGTCTCGCGGTGTATCGTCCTCGAGCTTATTAGGTAGCGTTGGCTGAAATACACTAACCCAGCATCGCGAGATTTATTTTAAATAGTTATTCGATACATCCGCTGTTGCACAATTCTTCTCTCGACTCTCCCAGCCTCGCGGGGTCGCTCCCTCGCTGTCGCGCTTCGCGTTACGCGCGCGGCGCCGGCGGCGACAGGGGACAGAATTGGGGGTGGGTGGCGCCGGCGGTAACCTCGTCCTCGAGACTCGATGGATCGCGCGACTTGGCCCCAACAGAAGGCAGGTCTGCACATCACGCCCTCACTGCCGCACGTACCTCCCCTGGACCGAACCGGGCGGCGCCGAGTGCACCTGGTGATACCAGTAGATGTCCGCAGGCTTGCGTGGCCGTGGCGGCGAGACCGCACGCGAAACTGCGCGGGGTGCGCGGCGGGGGTCAGAGTGGGAACCAGATGCGCTGCTCCCCACAGCTGCCACTCACCCGACGCTGGCACCGTCAGAGCGAGCGGCACCACCAGCGGCCGCGCCGAGGGCGGAGCGTCCGTCTGGCAGGCGCCGTCCTCGAGGAGCGGGTCGTGCTGCGTGCTATCGTCGACTCCACCCGCCTGCTCCAAGCAAGACCGCAAGCTGAACAGATGTGTGCAATCGAGCCATCCAACTGCCATAACTTGCGAATGCACCTGCACCGCCCGCTCACGCCCGCCCGCTTGTACGCCGCGGTCCGCCACGCTCGGTTTGGGTGGCGGTTGCGGTGGCTTCTCCGCCGCAAGCGCTCGCCGCAGCTCGTCCAGCATGCGCTGCACCCCGCTCAGCATAGTCTCGCACGTCGTTTCGGCCGCCTCTCGCTGCCCGGCACTGAGGCGCCTCTCGGATTCCTCCTGCGAGAGGACGAGCGCCGCCCGGCAGCTCTTCACCTAGAGCATAGGAGGGTGGATCAAGGCTTGCAAGACTCGTGACGCATGCCCGGGACCGCTCGGCGCCTCTCCGCTCAGCCCGTCGACCCGCGATCCGATTCCGTCCACCCGATCGCCCAGTTCGCGAATTGCACGGCGGAGGGCATCGTTGTTGCCAGCCGCCACCTCTGCCGCTGCAGCCATGGCGTTTGCCACCGCTCGCGTGAGGGCCTCACTATCGGGCTGCGGGTAGGGCGGCATCACGATTGTCGTTGGCTGCGGTGGTGGCGGAGGAGGCGGAGGAGGTGGAAGCTCCTCGATCCTCAGAGGTGCGCCGTCGAGCTCAGCCACCAGCTCCGAGAGTGGCAGCAAAAACTCGAGCTCGGCACCGCGTCGGGCATTTCATCTGTGGTGCGGAGAGGGTTGTTGGCATCTTGTGAGAGGGAAGCACCACTGTGGCCGCTCTGCGTTGGTGGGCGGGGGCACCCATCTCTCGCACGCCAAGGAGCCACTCGGCAGCAGTGAGGTTGCCTGCGGAGTTCATCTTGTTAAGGTAGTTGAAGGTTGCCTGCGCGTGAGCTGTGAGTGTTAAAAAGGGGGAGCGCTGTGTAGTGGACTGCGCGATGGCTCACGTTGAAATCGGAGAACTTGTCTTTCGGCGCGAATGCCCCGATCTGCTTCTTGATGGCAGCAAGCGTGGCCGTGCCGGTCGAGCCAGTGATAGCATCGAAGGCCCGCTTCGCAAGCTCGTCCCGCTGCTGCCGCTTGAACGCCGCCTCCTCCTTGCGCCGCGCATCGGTCATGGGCTCGTCATCATCGCCCATCCCAGACGCCCCAGCCGCTGCTGCTCCGGCGGCTGTTGTGGCGGCCCCGGCCGCCAGTCCCGACCCTCCCATCCCGCTCGTCCCACCCGCCCCGCTCACCCCGTCCACCCCGCTCGTCCCGCCTGCCTGTGCCTGTGCTGCTCCGGCGGCTGTTGTGGCGGCCCCGGCCGCCAGTCCCGACCCTCCCAGCCCGCTCGTCCCACCCGCCCCGCTCACCCCGTCCACCCCGCTCGTCCCGCCTGCCTGTGCCTGTGCCTGTGTCTTTTCGTGCCTTCGGGCTTGCCGCGCTCGCTCCAACTTTGTGCCAGGGTCCGATCCTAGATCGCTTTCGGTGCACACGCCTGGAGTCTCTCCACTCGTCCCTGACGCCTCATCCGCAGCCATGTGCGTCGCGATCCAGGTTGCTAGAGTTGAGGAGCCTTGGCCGTACCCTCCGGGCAGCTCTCGGAGATCCTTTAGCTGCTTTTCTGGCGGCGGGCCCCAATGGGCGGGGAATCGCGAATCCGCTGTGTCCGTTACTGGTTTGCTGCAGCAGCACCCACCCATGATGACCGAACACGAGGATGGCTTGCCTGCCGAGGAGCGGTAGGGAGTGCAGGAGACGCACCAGAACCAGTGCCAGTCACCTTAGGCTTTGCACCCAGGCACCAGGCACAGAGCGTCCAAAGCTCAAACTTGCGCGCGAGAACATATTCTTATTACGTCAGTAAAATCGTCTTCGAACAACGGTCAACGCGTCGTTTTGGGCAACTAGGATTCCTAAATGGCACAACACACGTTGTTGACAGGATTTGACAGAAAATGAACTTCGGAAAACTACCCACCGCTGCCGCCATTGTGATCCTCCTCACGCGAGTGTGCGCGGGGGGCTGCTTTCGTGTGGTGTGGTTCGCCTTCGTCTCCGGCACTGCCACTCAGCTGGAGGTCGAGGAGGGCGGTGATGTGCGCGTGCGCGAGCACGCCTGCCGCCCGCCTCGCCGCGCTGCCGGTCGATGTGGGTGCCGGCGTCACAAACACGCGCGTGGCGCCCTCGCCGCCGCGCGCCGCCTGCACACGAACCATCGCTAGCGCGCCGTCGTCTAGCCGCGCCTGCCACGCGTCCACCGCTCGCACCGCGTCTGGGAAGAGGAGAGGCGCGCACACGCTCCGGTGTAGGGTCGGCCTCCTCCGGAACCACGCCTCGCCGTCCTCGCCGTCCTTCAGCTCCGCCGCCAGGTCCGCCTCACGGAAGGCGACCGCCGACCAACGCAGCGGCCGGCCAGCCGACGCAGCCTCCGACGCTCTGCTGCCGACGGCCTCGGACGCTGTGCGAGCGAGGTCCAGCCGCTGTGTGGGCAAGACGGCCGCGTGTACGCCTGCCGAGGCGAGGAGCGCTGCCGCCGCCGCCTTCTCGGCCGCCTTCTTGCTGCCTCCCTCCGCAGTGAGGCGCCTCTCGCCCAGGCTGGCCGCCGCCCGGAAGAGCGGCGAGTGGGACGCGCCCCCGACCTGCTCGGCCGGGCCCACGCTGCCGCCGAGCTCGAGCAGCCTCCCCTTTGGGTTCGCCTCCCTCCTCGCGCGTGCCTCGCCGCCTTCGCCCTCGCTGGCGTCGGCGTCGGTGTCGGTGGCGGTGGCGAGGAGGTAGCGAGCGAGCTCCTCGATGGCATCGGCGCCGCCCGAGTGGTGCACCCGCTCCACGCAAGCCTCGAGCAGCGTACCGCAGTCGTGCACCTGCGCCGCTCGCTCCTCGGCTGGCGGCAGCAGCGTGAGCAGCGTCAGTGGCAGCAGCTGGTCTAGGTGCGCCGCCATGTGCTCGTTGCTCACGGCGGCGCAGAAGCGCCGCGTGAGCTCGTCCTGCCCACCAACGCACTGCGCCTGCAGCTCTCGCGCGACTGCCGCACCGAGGACTTTGTCGCCGTGCCACGCGGCAGTGGTCACGTGGCGCTCACCTCCAAACCCCATCGGCAGCACGAGCCACCCATTCACTTCGGAGACGGCGCTGTGCCAGCGGGCAAGGCCTGGCGAGGTACTTCCAGCCTGCTGTGGGAACAGCTGACGCAGTCTCGGGTTGACTCGGCCAGATAAAAAACCCCGAGAGGCGTGGGAGTACCTGGCCCGGGCAGGCACAGAACGCAAAGCATTCGTCTTCGCGACGCCACCTCTTTTGGTATCCTGCTGCATGAATGGTTGGGCAGGTGTGAACAACACCTCCTGTCCACGGCGCCGAGGCGCCTGTTGATGGGTCCAGGTGATAGCCCTGGGTGGGCAATCCATACGCCTAGTTGGACCTCAGATCGCCCGACCGCGTCCCGGTGCTCTGCCGTCGGATTTGTGACGCCGCCGCACCGCGCCGCGGCCGGGGGGGGGCCCTTCGGAGGCCGAGGATGGCCGTGGCGGACCGGGACGAGCTCTGGGAGGTAAAGTGTCAGTGTATATATTGTAGAGACCAACCATGTTCACAATATCTCTCAATCTAGCTAAGCCAGGGGAGGCGATGCCGGGGCCGTACAGCAGCTTGATGGTCGGCTTCGCGTGCGTCCCGGAGCGGTCCCGGACGGGCGGTCCGTGGGAGGAAAACGAGGATCAGCGCCGACGGCGCTCTGATTCGACTTTTAACTTCAAACAAACGGCGCGTGCCACTGTCAGGAGATCCGTCCTCACAACCTGCCCAACCATTCCTCCACTCCAGCAGAGTAACACAAAAGAGGATTTAGCGCGGGGTTGGAGGTAATGACTGCACTCCAAGTGTTCCAAGTTGGTATTCAATTGGAAGGTCTACGCGTACGCTACGCGTACCTACGCTCTCGGTGACTCAAACAAAAACAAATACGTTTTTGGTATTGTGGGTGCGCTTCTTAGCTCTCCCCGGGCCCTGGATGTGAGGCTGCCGACTGCACTCCAAGTGCTCCAAGTTGGTTTTCAGAGGTTTGACTCTCGTGTGAGTGTGAGTGAGTATCCTTGATACGAAACCACGACGACACTTACACCAGTCGACTCGCATCGGTTGCCTCCATGAACGGCGGAGCTATTATCAATCTATTATCCCGCGTCCCACACACACCCACACCCACTGGCTCCAACGTGGGACACGCCCATTACAGGGGACCCTACCTAGGTCACGCATGGCATCAGAAGGAAAAAGAAAAGAAAAAAGCACACACGTACATTTGACTCTCGTCTCTGCCGGGGACAAAAAGAGAAACAAAAAGCCGCAAGCAAGAAAACGGAACCCCCGATCCCCCTTCTGCCCCCCCCCCCCCCCCATCAATTCGCCTCCGCGGTGACCGCCGTGTAAACACCACCGAGAAACCAAACCGCCTCCAACGCATGCTTGTTTCAAACATTGATCCTATTCCTCCAAGTACCGAGTCATACCCTTCGAATGTGACTTCGTCGGCAGACCCGTAGCATCTGCACAACTTTTGCAAGCCAAACCATTCCGCCACGAAAAGATTGTCGCCGAGGCACGCTTCCTTGCATTCGGAAAAGGAAGCGAGTGACCCGTGTTTCGCGGCAACTACACCCGATAAAACGCGCACACCTTGGGCCATGTTCGCATCGGCATCAAACTCAACCTCTGGGCCCCAAGAGAAGCTGCCAGTCGCCGTGCTGGTTCCTTCCAGCATAATCGTCTTGGAGTCACCGTCGTTTCGATATGCATACTGGATGTTCCCGTCGCTGGCATCATACCAGCGGCACTTGTCCTTGTTCGAGCGATACCAGCAGCACCCACCGGCGCCGGTGTCCCATGCCTGGCATTTCGCAAGACACTGGGCCTTTGTTTGGTCGCCCTTGGATGCGGTGGCTGCAGCGTTGTTCCACGCTGGATAACATTCGCGCTTCGTCGTCCAGTCGGAAAACAAAGCATCTGGATACGAGCGCGTTGTCGGGCACGAGCTGCTGAGGCTGCGCCGCGCGAGGCGCCGGCGCTCGTGGGTGTCGAGTCGGCGGCGGCGGCTGTCGGCAGTGCCGTTGAAAGCTGTGCTGCCGTCACCCTCCCCGGTTGAGTTGGCAATCACCTCCGCCGCGTCCTCCTCGTCGATCGCCATGTCCACCGCCTCCTCCTCAAATGCCTGCAGGTCCGTGTTGTCGACCGTCACCGACGAGCATGTGGCGTCTGCCGCGCAGAGGGTGTACTCAGCCCCGTCGGGCGTGAGGAGGCGGGCGTCGCTGGTGCCCTCGAGCTCCACCTTAAACCCCAGCGCATCCAGGAGCTCAACCGTGCTGCCCCGCTTGACCTGAGACACGATGCGGAGGTTGCGCCGCACCCTCTCGCCCCCGTCCATGTAGGAGACGGAGAGCTTGTTGACGCGCCAGCTCCATTTCCATCGCCGCCAAAGCGTAGAGTGGGATCGTCGCCGTCGCCGCGCCCACGTTCAGCACGGAGCCGTCACGGTCGGTGAGCACCGCCTTGTCAGCGTGTGTTTCCTTTACGAGCTCGGACGCGGCCCAGCTGACCGCAAACATGGAGAGGGTTAGCAGCACGATGACGCCCGCCGCACATAGCAGCCACCTCCGGAGCCGATCGCGCTGCTCCTTGAGGTCGCGCTTCTCCTTCTCCGACCTGTCGATGTCCACCACCATATCCACCACCTCTCCGGAATCGCACTGTACGTACTTTTAGCTTACTGGGAGAAAAGAGAGAGGGGGTTGTGTTCTCTAGGCCCCTAGGGGCCCTACGCGCGGCGTGAGAGCTCGGAAGCGAGCTTAGCACGGCGATCGAGGATGGCACGGTTCACCCCCTTCACCGAAGCGATGGAGATGCGTTCCGCGTGGTGTGACACAAATGAGAGGCGGGAGTGGGGAGGGTACGCGGTGCGGTCAACGCCCGAGCGTTGAGCCTTGCGCGCAAGGCGGTTGATCTTTGCAACTGCAGGCGGCGAGAAGCCGCCGCCGAATGTCTCGTGGAGAAGCAGGTTGAACTTGTTTCGTTTGCCGAAGATCCCGTCATGGTAGTGGCCACGCTGCGACTTGACGTAGCCTTGGCCGGTGGTGTGGTCGAACGCACGTTGACCACGGAACCCGCGTTGCTTGCAGCCCATGTTTGCAAGGCGGGCGCGCTCTTCGGTGTTGCCGAAGGCGAACTTGTCTCCAACGGAGCCGGGGTTGCCTCCGGTGTCGGCGCGGCCGACCCCAACGGGCAAGCCACCCCGGAGGGGAGTCCAAAGTTTGACCTCACTGATCTCGTCTTTGCCCCCGGGAGCCTCGCCCGGCTCAGCCAGGTCGGTTTTGTAGCCCTCGTTGAACTGTTTGGTGAGCTCAGGTTTTTCGGCATCTCCCATAACGGGCCGGGGTGCGGGTGTTGGTGGTTCCAGGCGTGGCGTAGATGGTGGCGCTGAAGATGTGCCACGGGCCTGGAAAAGCGCCGCCCTGCGCGGGCATGTACTCGGGGCGTGCGAGGGCGCCTGCCTGCGTAGGCGAGGCTGCCGTCGCGACGGAATCCAAGTGGGTATCGGCGCTGTCGAGTTGCAGTCGGGCGAGGGGCTGGGCGACTGCGCGGGTGGTGGCGGCGCTCGACGTGAGCGCGGCGGTGGCGAGGGCGAGGCCCGGGAAGGCGCCTCCGTAGAAGTTGCAGCCGAAGCGCGGCGCACATCCTCCCGGCGAGACCTTCCGCTTCTTGGGGGGGAGTGTGCAGTCGCCGTCGGAGGAGGAGCCGGCAACCGAGGTCGGGCCGTTGTCGGAGCTGCAGCTGGGGCCGGCTGTGCCGTGCGCGGGAGTTGGGCTCGGGTTGGCTGGCGGGGGCGCGATGTCAGCGGAGGGAGGCGCGCTGGGGGGCGTGGCTGCGGCTGCGGTGGCGGCTGCGGTGGCGGTGGCGGTGGCGTCGGCGGTGGCGGTACCGAGGGCACCGGGCGTGAGGAGGGTGGGGTTGGCTGCCGCCGCTTCGGTCGCTGGCACGGGATCGCCGTCGAAGGGGTACCAGTGGTCAAGTGCAATCGGGAAGCCGGCAGGGAGCGGCACGTGTAGGTTGATGTGTTGAAGCGCTGCCGGGACGCCCCCATTGTCTTCACCGTACTTTTTGTGGATCGCTCCGCTGCCGCCGATTGCCCCATGTGCAGCGCAGAGATCCCAGCAGCTGAAGATGCCGCGTCCGAGTCGAGGGATATAAAGAGCATAGACGGGCGGCTCCTTCTTCTTCTTCCCGTTGCCGGCGGCCCAGACCCCAGGTAGTAACGTGGCGAGGGTGATGGCTGGTCTGGAGCTGAAGGCGGCGACGCAGAGTTGAGCGGTGTACGGGTTGACGATGATGTGAGATATGTCGTAAAGAATGTCGTAAGAGATGACGGTCTCGGGACGGAACAGATCGAGGGCGTGTTGGCAGGACGATATCTTAGGGCCGTAGGCTTTGATCCAAGTGAAATTTGATGGGACCACCACACCTCTCTCCCGAAAAAAATAAAACTCTAGGGATAGATTGCGACTGGATCCTTCCAGACTTGCACTGTGGCACCGCCAACGCCCCGCTCGCGCATTTCGACCTCCGCACGTTCTACAATGGGCAAGGACAGCAAGGTTGAGGGACCCGCCATCGGCATTGATCTTGGCACCACCTACTCGTGCGTCGGCATCTGGCAGAACGACCGCGTCGAGATCATCGCGAACGACCAGGGCAACCGGACCACGCCCTCGTTCGTCGCCTTCACCGACTCGGAGCGCATGATCGGCGACGCGGCCAAGAACCAGGCGGCGATGAACCCGCGCAACACCGTCTTCGACGCCAAGCGCCTGATCGGCCGCCGCTTTTCCGACTCCGCCACCCAGTCCGACCTCAAGCACTTCCCCTTCAAGGTGATCGCGAAGGACGGCGACCGGCCGTGCATCCAGGTCGACTACAAGGGCGAGATAAAGGACTTCTTTCCGGAGGAGATCTCGTCGATGGTGCTCGTCAAGATGAAGGAGGTGGCCGAGTCCTTCCTCGGCTCCGAAATCAAGAATGCCGTCGTCACCGTCCCCGCCTACTTCAACGACTCGCAGCGCGCCTCCACCAAGGACGCAGGGTCCATCGCGGGCCTCAACGTGCTCCGCATCATCAACGAGCCGACCGCGGCGGCCATCGCGTACGGCCTCGACAAGCAGTCATCGTCGGAGCGCAACGTCCTCATCTTCGACCTCGGCGGCGGCACCTTCGACGTCTCCCTCCTCACCATTGAGGAGGGCATCTTTGAGGTCAAGGCGACCGCGGG